GTAAATCTCCAAAAACATCCTTTTGATCTACATCGTTTACAAGAGTAAAACATTTACTCATCAGCTCCTGCTATAACATATAACTACAAAGTTATAATTTCTTTGTTAGACACAACACCTACATCCTCCTTTTCTCACCAAGGTCCTGCATCATAGAAACAAGCTGTTCTTTTCAACTCTACAACCACTGACCTGTTAATGGCTCGCATTAACATCACTCCATTATTATTAGGTGTTGTTAACTCCAAAGAAAGGCAGGAGGAGCCTAAGACGACCGTCTCGTTCCCCCTGGGATCGAGGCTCTGCCCTCATTTACCTGCCAACACGTGTCTGTGATGGCTCCCCGGCCTCAAGATGTTTCCCGTAAACAGTTTTCCTCCTCAAGTGACATTAACTCTGGAACTTTTAAGAACTATCTCACTGCTGCAGCATGTAACCAGGCTCTGGTTGCAGTCTTGGCCTAGTCTAAACCAGCTTCCCTTAGTCTCCGATGTTTGAGTTGAAGACAGTTACACCACTTGATAACATTTCTCAATATGTTTTGCAAAGTGGAGGGATGAGTGTGTACGCCCCTGAATCAAATTTGCTGGTCCAAAGAACATAGAGAACCCAACCGCCCAAAAACATGTGTTGTAAAAAGTCCAAAGAGACATAAAAAAAATCAACAAATAAATAAAGGCTGCTGAAGCTGCTGCAGATGCAGTTTATACTGACAAAAACAAAAACAACTCTGGTTCGTCCAGCAGCAGCGACAGCGACAGCTGACTGTGAAATAACCACACCACAGGGGCTTGTTTACAGAGTCTGGTGCTGTGCTGTACATGCTGCCATCTGCATCTGTGAGTAAAAATGTAGCTGTGTCCTCTAAGTACATTAAGAAAAAGTTTTTAAAAAAATGTTTACATGTTATACACAGTGAAGGGTTGAGTTATACAAGTCAGTTTTGCTAACTGCCCTGGTCTGGGGGTATTGTGGGATATTTTAAAGTGGATTGCTAGAATTATAAATCAGATGGATCAGAGGAAGACAACACCAGAAGACTGGAACTTCAAAACAAATTACTAGAACTCTATGCTGGTGAGCTGGACATGGTTCTTTTATGTCATTCGGTGTAAAGTTATTAACTATTTACCCCTGTTGATGATTATTTTCTAGGATTATGGATTCAAATTTTAATCTTAATGTGTGATAACATCATAGGTGAAGGCTCTCGACCTTCGGAGAGACAAGAGGAGAGATGAGGGATTAACTGATGCTTCAATGGGAATCCTCTTACACTCAAATCTCATTATTACACACAGACACTGCGGACAGACACACACTCACACAGGTTTACCAACCTTTCATCATCTCCTGTTTCATGATTCTTCTATAAGGCTATATAGGACTACACATGATGAACCTTTTTATCTTTTACTAAACCCAGTAATAAATGGGTGTTATGTTACGCTAGGCTTGAACTACAAACACAACATATTTGAGACAACAGCCAAAGTTGATTATGAATAACACTTAAAGGTACATTTACCATTTAAACATCTCAGTCAGGTTATTTATGTCCTTACAACTTTATGGCCAACATCAGGACAGACACACATGGAGCAGATGAATTTAGGTGTGTTTAGTAATGATGACAAAATGACCAGCAGCTTCTACTAAACATACTCTCAAAAAAAAAAATACAAACAAATACCCCGTCATGTGAGAGAAGTAAAGGTTTATGATTTTACCTCAGTGATGTCACAGCAGTCAACTCTTTATGATTCTTCTTTAAAGATCCAACAACTGTCCCTGTTCAAGCTTCACATAAAAAAGAAATGACTCAAGCACTGGTTTCTAGTACTGTTGGAAAGTCCCTAATCTGACCTCAGCAGCAGATGATTAAAACGAAATTTAAGAGAAACTGAGAGAGAGACTGGGAGAAAGCTTCTACTGCTGCTGCTCTGCTTCAGCTCAGTCTACACTGAGAGAGACACAGAGACACAAGCCAATCAGAGGAGAGGATCCGCCCAGCCCACACACAACCCCCCACCTACTTCTCTCCCAGCCCCTCTTTACTTACCCATTTCCCCAATCTCAGTCTTTCTTTTTAAGTCTAACCAATTTTTTTTTCCATGTGTTCCCCTACGGTTCAGTTATTTCAAAAACATGCACATGAAACCACATCATCTGAAATCCCCCCTTAGTCTGGGGAAGAAAAAAAAACACCTCTCCCAAATAGTGACCCCCCTGAATGAGGGAAATGAATGAAGGAAACAGCAGGAGGAAAGATTCCTCTTCCTATTGTCATGTTAATGAATCTAAAACGAAACAAAAGAACAGCAGAGGCAGCAGCTGTGGATGAGTAAATGTCACCTACAAAAAAAAGTATTAAATATTTAGAGAATAACAGTGTTTCTTCAAATATTTTTTTAATTTATTTTATATGACATTTATTTTAAATAATCCCAGTAAAGATGATTCAGAGATGTTTACTCTCACAATTATGGAAAAGTTAAGATTTAGATACTCCCCAGTATAAATGTCACAGCTGTTGGTAAAAATAGTCAGAATATAGCAAGAATTCTAAAGGAAAATCAGTATTTCAAATTGTGTTGTCAGGAAAATTCCAAGGAAGTTCAAAGATTTCTGGATCATTGTTTTTCCTGAACTTGATGTGACTGTGAAGGGAAAGTGCTTCAGTGAAATGAATTAAAACTCAATAATCTCATGTTTTCTACATCGTTCCTGAGGCTGTTACATAAAGTGGGATTAAGGCCGATTTATATTTATGTACTAATCCAGATTTACTTGAGGGCAAATATAAGGACTTGGCTCACAGAGTCAGAGGTGATGAAGCTTCAACGCAGCAGGGAAGATGATAGAAAGGCTCAGGGTAAAAAAAAAAACATTTTACATTTTATTGTCTTGTAACTTTTACCATTTTACAACCTAAATATATGATATGCAGCCACCATGTGTTCTGTGTGCATCACCAGCATACATTACTAGTGATTGACATTATGTACAACAGATTTTAGATAAATGTTCTCAAAGTTAGACAAACACACTCCAATCCAGAACTAAGACAACATCCTTGGTTCCACACATTGTCTCCAGACAGTCAATTTCCAACAACCAGCAATAAATAGCTCTCCAACAGACAAAGGATCACAGATCCAGAGAAGATATAGTACCTCCAATCTCTATGATTGGATAAATAAATATGAGTTAGTTATAGCTAATACTAGTATTCAGATATCTGATCTCCAGGAATTAATCAGATATGTTGACCAAATCCTGTCCAGATCGTTTTGAGCATCCAGTGTTTAGGAACGTTGCTGTGTATTTGGTAATAGAGAGGAGGTGGGGTAGGCAGCTTGAATAAACATGAGTTTACTATCTTACACCAGTCTTCACACCATGTTGATTAGGATCTGATTTTAACATTTAAATGGTGAAAGGAAGTGAAGCCGTTTCCAGCTGAGCCTTAGAGCAGAATTCTGGTCAGGATGGTCGGGATTCAGGACAAACCTCAGTAACTTCAGTCTGAAGGTTTTATAGATCAAAATCCGGGGCTAACAGGAGTGCCAACAATACATCAATGCACTGACCAATCAGTAGAACAGCAACACTGACCCCTGTGCTGTGACTGCGAGAATGGGGACAGAGGTTTCTTATGTAACAGAGATTGTGACACATTTGAATCCTTGCAGCAAAAACACTCTGAGAAAAACAGCAGAAGTTGAGTAAACATGTCTGAATAGATCAGGATCAGAATATATCTATGACTCCAGCTGACTTGTGTCTGCATGTTAAATATTTATGAAAATATTTACATCACATGAACTGCAGCAGACATCTGTAAATATAAAGCAAAACATTTTTGGTCCTGGTTTCATAATGAATTAGCTTCTGTCTGAGTTTCTTGTTCCACATTTGGACTCGACTGTTGTCGTGTTCACTCCACATTTACACCCATTTTCCCTGATGAGACCCGTGAGCAGTTCCAGGATTCGAACCTGGTGCTCCATTCGAGCTTT